CGTCGACTATTCAACACGTTTCACAAGGACTTACTATTACGGAGAAAAGGTTCAGACAGACGCTTTTCACCTAAAACATCGCTGCATAGTTCGCGCGGGCGTGTGGATGGACAAGGGGAAGATCCTTCGGGTTATCAATGACGAAACCCGCCTTTGTATGTTGTGGTAAGTGGGGTTTGATAACGAACCTTCAGTCGGTATGTGACTCTCCAGGGAAGAAACACCGTGAGAATCCTCTCAAAGCCTTCTATACCAGTTTTCCGGATCCTCTCTTCCAATGCCTGCTGAGCGGTACCGCCCCTGGCTCACTAGCTTTTGTTCGCGTCATCCGATACTTATGCCGTCTAACAGTGGAAAAATTTATTAAAAGTGAACTCGTTACAGAAACTAGCCTCTGAGTTTTGGAGGGTGGGGCAACTAAGGGGCGTCAGAACTGTAAATTTGAGGGCCATAGCGTTTTTGTTACTTCCTGTAAAGCTGCAAAAGGGACGATCCTGGAGGCTGAGGGCCAGACTACTTGTGCTTCTCCTTACTGGGCGCCTGATGTCGGCCCCAGCATATTCTACCCAGATCACCTGCGTGAGCTATGCATTTGAACCAGCAACTACACGGTGTCTATTTTTCAGTAAAGAACGCGTTGTCGGAGTTGGCACAGGAAGTCGCGACCTCAACAGTCGAACTCCAACAATATTCGAACACGAAAGGACTCAAGGTGACAGCACCTTTCTAACATTTGTACCAGCATATTAAGTGTTCTTCATGTTCCATTCTGGGCCGGCATAAGCTCTCCGTGTGTAGGTTTCAGTCCTAAACCAAGGCTGAGCTGTAAAAAGTAGCAAGATCGCTTATGTTCGGAACTCATCCGATGTCATATACCCCATTCTTGCAATCTGCACTTTTTTGTGTCCCATTGTTGGCGCTCTCTCTCTCTCTTCCTTTTTTTGGAAACTGAGAATTCAAAGGTTCAGGTTCAGCGGTAGCGTGAACCTCGCCCACACGAAGTTGAAGGCTACTACATGAAAGTGTCAACCTATTGAAAGGCACCATACTAGATCGATATTATGTTGAAAGGCTCTATACGTTGCTCGTCCGTCGTGATGGTTCACTCATAGCGTGTTCATGCTCATTAGTGAGCAGGAAAACGGGAAAATGAATATCTTCATGAAATCACATCAACTTTGGTCTACGGACAGCTCGAACGCAATTCCGTTGATTGCGTCAAATTCCTGTCTTTCTCTGCGCTCTCTCGTCCGCGCGGCACTCATTGACATCATTGTGACTTCGCACATTCCAGCTTTTCACAGACTTTAAGTGGCTTCACCACCCTGGAGTCCCCTCTTCCTGCAAATCTCTTTCTTGGCTCGCCATAGTATTTTGCACGTCTCGATGCTTCGGCAGGCGCTGTCCTCTATCTGTCTGCGTTTCTTGGTTTCGCAACAGGAGCATGCACAAAAGTTCAAGTGTAACCTTTCTTTTTGCAAGGTATTTGGGAGGAGCTGAGCAGGAGAACGTGCACAGATAATAGGAAAAGAAATTTATTATGTTCATATGTTTAGCCGGAGTCCGTATCAGGATCTCGATCGGAGGTCAACTGGAGCGGGAGGAAGGTTGTAGTGAACGGCAGAACTATTGGAGTTGGAGAAGGCACCTTTACATTCGGCAATAAACCAACTGATGCCGCAGCGAAGAAGGAGCATTAATTTGTGTTGTCTCGATGTATAGATACTTTTTACTTCTGCAGAGCAGTTTTTGTTTCCTCGGTCATAAATTCTTGTATATGTAGGATGGGTGTACAATCTTGTTGGCTTGTCATCTGGAATTTTCCCCATGGGTCTTGTGGCTCATAACCGTTTTGTGTTGACGGCAAAAAATGACGCATCGCTCCTTGAGTGCAACATCAGGGCACATCGTTGGTTGGGGAATCCCCACAGAGGGGGGGGGGTCGTGGTAGCCAGTAACGAGCAGCGCAAAGGTGTCAGTGTGCTGAGTCCTGTACAGCGAAACTTGCTTTGTAGAGAACTCGGATATGTAAAAAATAGTACAAAACTTTCATCATCAAACTAATCCGAAATAACTGGAAATATTAATAAGTCGACATCATCTCGTAAGTGACTAAACAGTACAACTCATACTCTGGTTCGCTGCGGATGATGGGGCGTGTCCGCGATCGCGCTTGGCGCTGAGCCAACCTGTTTTTTTCGACAAACGACAGGACTACCATATCGTTCGTATCAGACGTTTTCCAGCAGTTGGTCTCCTTTATCGGAATCAGCAATTGGCGGAGCACGAATCTGGCGGCGTCGACAGGGACACGCTCCATCATACGCAACGGAAAACACTGTAAACAAGTGCACAGGTTCGCCATGGACCTCCCTGAATCCTATAGACACATTTGCTCGCGTGGACAGACATTACGCACAAATTGCACCATCCCATCACCTCTGCGCGGACCTCAATGCGCGGCGCATCCAAAGTTAGCATGATTGGCGCTAAACAAACCACATCCTGCTCCTGCTCCACCACAGGATACGTTCTACATGTATTTCAGGCTATTCGAACACGCTCGCTTGAACCCGTACACAGAAAACGGACTTTCGAACAGTTCGGAGTGTTCCCCAAAGAATCCCCAACGCAAGTTATCTCATGAGTTGAGGAAGCTTCAGAAAGCTTCAGAGTATGCAGAGGCTGCGCTACCTTTAGAAAGTGAAAATCGGCAAGAATTCCGCTTTAAGCTAACCAATTAGGCCCATGCCGACCCCCACCGGCTGCTAGCTACTAGCTAGTAGCCACTATGCTATCTCTCTCCATTCCGAATGGTGAGAGTGAGGTGATACGATAAAAGAGCTGATATCTTTATGATAACGACGAGTGGAAATTCGTACAAACATGCGTTTTCTTCATTGCATGCATGTACAAGTTGGGGTCGATATGGAATCCTATTTAGGGCATTTTCGGCTGTTTTTCTGCTGCTTTTCTCCGCTAATCAGATACCTAGCCCTTTTTCGTTCCTATGTGGGTTCCGTTACCCACAATCTGTGGTCGCGGGCTTTGCCTTTAAGTGGTTTTTGGAAAGAGAAAGTCTTCTGGAGTTAAATGCTTGTTTCAGATTTCCAAACTATTGAGGTTCTTGGTTCAAACCTGTCACAATTTGCACTGCAAACTATCCAAAAAGCACTCCCCAATAAATCCCCAACGCTGAATTTCTCTATGAATTTGGCGAACTTCATAAACATTTCAGTACTTTTAGGAAGCTCAAACCTCTACGACTGCGGTCTCCTCTTTCCCACAGGTCCGCTTTTGAGGAAGTTATGGCCCTTCGAAGACACCCTGTATCACCTGTGCTCCCGTTGATCATCGAGTTCCTCGAGCGGGCGCCAGTAACGTCTCCATTCGTCCCTGCAACGTGCAAGAGTTGCCCAATGAACTCTCTCAGCTCGAGGGACACGATGAACTTCATACCATTCGTTCAGAGCTTTCACGAAGAAGTCTGACCATCGCATAGGCGGTCGTCCAGGCGTTCGCTTGACATCCCGTGGAATCCAGTCGGTGATCGCTCTGGTCCAGCGGTCGTCCTCGAAACGCATGACGTGTCCGGCCCACCTGATCTTCGAAACCTTGGCAAATGCGGCGGCGTCTCTGATCTTCGATCGTGGCGGAGTGCGGAGCTCCGGATTCCCTCTCTCACTTGCGTGTAGCGGGAAACTCCGAGCATCGCCCTTTCGATGGCGCGTTGAATAACGCCAACCGCATGTTCATCCTGCTTTCGTAGAGTCCAAGTCTCTGAGGCGTACGTCAAGGCAGGAAGGACCGCGGAATCGAAGAGGTGGGCACGGAGCTTGGTGTTCTTCGTCTTCTTCGCTACTCCCTCGATGTTCTTGAAGGCTCCCCAAGCCGCTCGCTTCCTCCTGCTCAGCTCTGGAGCTAGGTCATTCATCATATTGATTTCACGACCTAGGTACACATAGCTAGAGCATTCAGAGATGGTCGTTCCGTTGAGCGTGAATGGGGCATCAGATACCAATCCGTTTCTCATGAACATCGTCTTCGTTAGATTCAGCCGTAGACCGATTCTTCCACACGCGCAGTCGAATTCAGCCAGCATTCGTTCCGCTTGCTCGATGTTTGGTGTTATCAAAACGATGTCGTCA